TCCCTCTAAAGATCACACATACCTCAGGTGAGGGTAAAGGAAAATTTTGTAAGCAAATGAAATAATGCCAACAAAATCCAAAGGAAGAGCTGCAAGTTAGCGTAGGAAAGCCTGCTAATTTCGAAGTATGCCCAGTACAAAACAGAAATTAGGATTTTAGGAAGTAGTTTAGAAAGATTTACAAATAAATATAGTAATTGGTTTTGAAAATGTATTCAAAGGCATCAACTAGAGAATCAGTGGACTCAGTAATTGCTGTAAAAAGGGTACAATCAAAGAAGAAAAAGTTCAATCTTGAATGAATTGGCTTTGTTTTTACTGAAGAAGGTATTGCAGAGGTTTATCCTTAAATTTTTAGGAATTTGGACAGGTGGGAGGAGGCCAGGGAAGCAAACATGAAGCTAATTAGCTTACTAGTTGAAATGGCCATGTGAGAATGTTATGGCTCTCCATAGTGAAGCCTCTGACTCTTCAGAGTCAAAGTAGCATCTGTGTATTACAGACTCTTGCATGGCCACATTTTAACATCTATTGTCAGACATAAGTCACTCTTGCTTGTGTGTTTTGGTTCCATAAACTAGAATTGGAACGCTTCCGGCGTGGCAAATTAGGACACAAAATGCTCTTCACTCATTGTACCATTTAATTTTGGTGTAACTTAGCCCCTATAAGCATTGTGAATTTCTCAAGTGACATTTGCTGGGTTTATAATTTATTTTTTATAGTTTGTTTTTAGAACAGAAAAATGTAGATGTTGTCACTGAGGCCGTTTTGCACAAAAGTGTTCATATAATCAAGACTGCCACCTAGAGGGGCTTAGGTTCTATTTCTTTTTGTACACTGGATAGTGAAAGGATCTTTATGAAATAGTAGTTAATGTAGAAGCTAGATATGTGCAGTGGAAGTAATCAGTACAGTATATAGAAATTGAGATTATGTTCTTTTTGTTTTTCTAATGCCAGAAAAAGAGTGCCATGTTAGAGTGGTTGGAAGTTAAGGTTTTGCTGCTGGTATTTCATCCTGACTGTGGTAATCACTGTGGCCATTTTTTTCTTCTTCCAGGTTTTTAGCAGAGTACCATGATGACTTCTTCCCAGAGTCTGCCTATGTGGCTGCCTGTGAGGCACACTACAGCACTAAGAACCCCAGGGCGATTTATTAGTTTTGATGGCTCTGGACAAACAGCTTCTCTGCCTAGCTTTGTGCTCTAGGTCCCCAGCGGAGAGCTGGGGAGATGGTGGGAGAAGCTCTAGGAGAGGTGGGCCCAGTTATTTGAGTTGTTACTTATGTAGTTATTTGTGTTAAGAAGTATTTCCTTGGTGCCTGAACAGCCTCCAACATCTGACCCTAGCCACTGTATATGTCACCTGTTTGGAGAAGAGAGCAGGTATGTTCCCAGTGAAACGTTCATGAAAATGTGTGTAGGTTAGGCTGTTTCAGTAGATGCTGGTGTTGTTAGCAATAATCACATTTTTTAGTTATTTGTTAGCACTAAGCAAAATTGTTTTGCAAACTGTTTTCATTCTTATGATGATAACAAGCAACTCTAACAAATTTTAGTTTTGCTTGGAAACTGCAAAGTAGTCCCAAAATACTTTAGAGGGAATTGATATTGAAGGCAAAAGAAAATTTGTAGCTATACATTTGCTTTTACAGTTCCTTTTCTGTAAAACCTTATTTTTGGTGATCTAAGAAAAGCATTGCCTGACTTGTTTGAGATTTTGCAGCTATACTTTGTTGTGTAATGTTATGGTTCCCATTCTGTAAAATGTTATTTTTGATGTTCTAAATAAAGCAGAGCTCATCTTGCTGGAAAGAACCAGAGAGTTTTCAGTCTCGCCTTGTCCTCTTTATTGCAAAGAAACGGTAAGGTAACTTCTTGACTCATAACTTTTCGTTTCATTTTGTTTGACCTTTGTGCCTTTTTTGTTAAGGCCTTTTGTTTTCCTTTCCTTTGATTTTATGTCACTTGGCAGCTTGACTAGAAGGTGGTTACTGGAAGTTGCTGCAGCTCTTCACTGTCTTGCTGCTGCAGTCTGAGCTGGTCTCGGGCCAGCACATTTATCCCCTCCGTCATGACTGCCTGGCGGCTTCTCCTGTCGCCCTTCTAGTCCTCATCTTAGCCTCTCACATGCCCCAGGATGTTTTAGAAAATCCTAACTTCATGGAAGGGATGCCAGTACCATACAAGCCTTGAGTATAGCACTTGCCTTTTCTTGTAACTCAGCTCAGTTGACCTTAATTTCCAAAGATCACTGGTCATGAACAGCAAGGGTTACAGGGAATTTTTTAAAAATTTATAAATGATTTCACCAAAGAAACTTCTGCATATACTGACCAGTGAGAATCAGAACCTCTGAATCAGAGTAGACATCATCTTAGTGCACTTTGTTGCTAAGTAACTCATAGCGTTTGGGTTCATGCTGGGTTTCATCTCCGTTTGCTTTATGCAGTGTCTGTTTAACGCTGATGCACCTGCGGTATGCTCTGGATTGTTGCACAAGTGTAATCAGGAATTAAAAGAAAAAGTTTCCCTTTCAAGGATCTGCTTGTTAAATGTCTCCAATGAAATGAACACAGACTGTCTTTTGGAACATTTACATAGTTATATACCTTGAGTTTATAGTTAATTCATTTTCTAATAATGAAAAATCATTTTCTTCCCCCAAAGGCATTTCTGAATTACAACTTCCCTTAAGCTGATTACTTGCAGCTTAGGTTGATTTAAATAACTGTTGAAAATATTATCTCTTTATTGTATATTAATAACTTTACAAATTATCAGTTAAAGTATGATTTAAATGTCTAGAGCATCCTTATAAAAATTATGTCACCCTCTTTTTGTCAGTTTTTAAATTGTTATGCTCCTAAACTGCCACACCTGCACTTAAGTGTCACATTTCATTGTTAATGTTTTCTTTTTAAATCACATAAACGTGTATTGAAAATAATATTTCAGTCACTTGCGTATTAGAATCTTATACTAAAAACTACTGAATTATACACTTTTAAGGTGAATTTTATGGTATGTGAATTATATGTCAGTTAAAACGGTATTGGTGATGGCTAAAACTCAAGAAAAATACACCATGAAAACCCATTTTTGAGACCTTAAAAGACTGTTTGATCCAATATTCGGGCATGGCTTCTTTCGTGCATCACCGCCCAAGGCTGGCCAAGGTCCCCTTCTCACTGCACTGAGTTCACACTTCTGAAGGTCAGAGAACCCAGTGCTGCGCCTTCATACAGTTTCCTTTGTGTGCAGACATGGAGTTGATGGAGTTTCAAACTTCTTAGACTTCCAAATTCTTCTGCACTTTGGGACATGGGAATAAGTATGTACCGATATTATGATATAAGCAATAAAAGGTTAATAAACAGAGGTTAGTGACAGCAAAAATAACATGAATTAAAAATAATGCAAATCATAGTTCATCTATAAATCATGTTTTAGCACTTTGCAACATCAGTCTTAATCCTTTCAGAAGGTCATGAAACACTATAGGTAGTAAAGTGCTCGACTGTGTTTTCCTATTGATTTCTACCATTCTCACTCGGGTTTACAACCCGCAGTGGAATGATTTAATAAGTCATTCTGGAGATCTGCTCTGGCACCAGGTAAATTACAGCAGCCTGCAGTTTTCTTTACTGCTCTATCTTCGCTATTGTAAAGGTGCCTTTCGAGACAATTTCAGGTCGTCAGCCTCTATTAGGTGTTCGTTATCCAGAAAATCATTTGGGGCGAGAGGATCTGTGAGCTGTATAGAAACACACCTATTAGTGTCAGAGGACGAGCGCTGTTTAAATGTGTTTGGCAGTACAGAAAACAAAGCCTGAGAACTAAAAGTGCTCTGTTGGAGGGAAAACCTAGTAAGGTTTTCTTTTGATATATGATAGCTCATCTTACCTTTTATATTCTGTAGCACATAAAACTTAACCAGTCATTGCATTGAAACCCTTTGTTAATTTGATGGTCCATAAGAAGCCATCGTAGGGTAGACAGATTGAAAAGTGTTTCTAGCCTGGCCAGTGTGTCTAAGTGGTTGAGCTTCGACCTGTGATCCAGGAGATCGAGGTTCAATTCCCGGTCAGGGCACATGCCCGGGTTTCAGACTCCATTGCCTGGGCTGAAACTGCTGAAATTCTAAAATGTTCAGAAGCCATCAGCTAACCAAGGGACATGTACCTGCTCCTTCTCACATAACAAGAAAGAAAACGGATAGAGACAGCCACGTATCTTTGGGATCTTGTAGCTAGCACGTTTGTTTTATTTAGTAAGAAATTTAGAGTTTGCAGAACACAAGAAAGGAGAACAGAAATAAATACATTTCCATAATAAAATTAACAACTATTATTATTTTGTAAGATTTATTCCCAGCCAGTGTTTTTTTGTTGTTGTTGTTTTTAAATATATCTTTATTGACTTCAGAGAGAGGAAAGGAGAGGGAGAGAGAGAGATAGAAACATCAATGATGAGAGAGTCATTGATCGGCTGCAGCCCGCAACCCGGGCATGTGCCCTGACCGGGAATCGAACCCTGATCGCCTGGATCCTAGGTTGACTCTTAACCGCTGAGCCACGCACGCCCAGCCAACGTTTTAAAAAGAATAATATATATGATACATGCATATGTTATGTACACATACATAAGTACATCAGTTTGTTTTTACATATACACATTTAGTTCAATCCTTTTAACTGCTGTATAAGAGCCTATCACATGGATGTAACACCCTGTATTAATTCCTTTACCATTCTCGGACGTTCAGATTGCTTCCTTTTACTAACAGTGCTGCAAAACAGCCCTTGTACATAGTTCCTTGTATCCAAATGCCAGTCTCTCTCTAGGTCATACACCCAGAATTGCTGGATGGGCAGACGCATGCTTTTCACATTTTCTAGAGTCTAAAGTTACCCCATTAGACAGGGACCTGGCTTTGTAAGAGTTCCTGGGTGTTAAGTTTCAGGGCTGTCGTCTTATGGGTCAGATTTATAACACAGGGAGCTAAAAGTAAAGAAAAACTGGATGAAAACTTGAGATCATTTTGAAACATCCCATGTTACCTCATCTCACATCACCCCCCACCCAAGCGTTTTTATGCAGTATTGGGAATTGTTATTTGGTGGTTTCAAAGAAATTACAAAAATAAAAAGTTAACAAATTTACAGGTAAAAAGCAGGCGAAGTGGTGATGGCCTGCTACTTTGCTCACTAATTGGTTTCCAGGATAACTGTTAATGACATTATGGAAAGGAATTGATTGGTCATCCGAGGAATGTTACATATAGTGTTGAACAGGGCAAATGCACCTCATTTGATAATTTCGGTGGGGTGGGGTGTCTCAGGTTTATTATTCAATAAGGCAAACCAGTTCTTTTGGTCAATTTAAAAACCTGCCAAGACATCATATGATAAATACACCATTCATGGTATGATCAAGGTTAGGTCAAACAATATTCTCTCTGTAAACAGGAGAAAATCACTCTTGTTGGCTAAGCAGTAAGTAGCGAAATGTTCTTAGGTTATACATGTCCCCTCTCAACAGTGAATTAGTACAAGAAGACTGTCCTCGGAATAACTGTTCTCAGAAAATTGTGTGTGCCCTTTGCCCCTTGGGTTCAGTCCAGACCAGCTGATCTAGTGTGATGTCAGCATCACCGCAGTGCTTTCGGTGTGTAAGCATCTTTGAAAGCTGCCTGAGGTTTTTCAATTTATGTCGGGTCACATTATCCATGCTCTGTAATGCAGCTGCTCTTGTTTAAAATCCTTACAACTGGCCGTATGAATTGCTGGCTTGTAGAAGTGAGACTCTATCAAACATTTTGTAGAGAAAAATGAGGACAAATAAAACTATTGGAAAACTACATTCTTGTCCTTAAAGCTTCCAAGCCAGACCAATCACAAAGTCAGGATTAAAATGAGTAATAGAATAATAATATTGACGAACTACATAAACTCTTGCGTGATCCAGAAGGCGCTCTCCAGGGAACGCCTGGTGCACTAGTTTTTCAGGGATGTCCTTCAGGAAATTGGGAACCGAGGCTCTGGTTGGGAGATTCCAGGATGCTTGGGCCCTGGAGCGAAGCTTTATGGAGAAGTTCGAAGGCGCTGGTGGCTCCCCCCGCGCTCCCCGCCCGCTGTTTCTCTGGAAGGGGAGTCGCTCGCGCCCGGGGCTGCCAGCAGAG